AGTGATTCACATCGGACATGAAAAAAACGATCCGATTACTCTCGTCGCCTACGTACCTTTCTTCGATGGCTTCTTTAATAAATAATTCATCTAACGTTGAGCCGTGTATTCCGTGTGTCAGCACCACAAGGTGGATATCCCTAGTTGCAAGTTCACTTAGATCGGGCGTCTTGATGACATCTCGTGGTCTCATGAATTCATATGATATCGAAGGGGAAAAGGTGGTGGTGGTGCCGTCTTCGCTAATTAAAAAGGCATTGTCGAATATTTTTTTATCCTTGGTCATTGCATTCTTGGGCATTGCGGCGAATATTCCCAAGTCATATTTGACCTTGGTAGAAGTAAATATTATCTCGCTCAGGATGTCAATAGTCCAGTCACCAATACCACTCGGAGGTATTTCCAATTTAATCTCCCAACTTTCACCGCATTTTATGCATCCTTTCGCGTGAGGAAGGAGTTCTGAATGTGGTCTTGCTCTGTGATGATCGGTTTGGATGCATGAGGCGGAGATGTAGTAAGGCCCACTAAAAAATGCGCCTCGAAATATTATCGAAGTTGAATTGGTGACTTTGAGTACTAGTTCCACAGGTGGCCAGGCTGTATTGAAAGGGTGTTTCGACTTATCAAAGCGAATCCTATACCTAGATATTTCGCCAACAGTCAACTCGAAAGTGGACCGCCATAGTCTAACGAGGTTCAAGGAAGAATTAGTCATTGCAAGGCGATCTCGATCAACTCGTGATGCTTATGCTCTCGTGACGCTAACTTTAACACGTGATCACAATTACCATTCGCGTATTACGCGTACGCCAAAAACTGATCGATCGACGACATTTCAATTCTAAAAGATGGCTGAAGAACTCCGAACAAGAATCCCGGAAGGTAAATCGAAAGTATGGGCTTGTTGATTTTGAGCATTAACTAATGACAAAGTGAATGAATGCTAAAACCCCCAAAAAAGAGGCCAAAATTTTATTTGGTGAGGTAAATGTGGAAGAATATTGCAAGAAACAGGAAATTTCGATGGAGGTAAGGCATTGAGGAGTTCGTGTCAAGCGAAAATCGGATGTTTATTATCGAGAGCATAGGTTTTTGAAAAACTACGCCGCCAGGTTATGGAGTCAAATAAGGTTAAACCGAAACGCGGCCTCGAATTGTTGGATAGATTAAATACGCGTCAGATAAATTTCCTGTCTACTGGATGTTCAGGGTGAATAATCCTTTGTTTTTTTTTTTTTTTTTTTTTTTTTTTACCCGGCCTGGGCATCCCCCGATTTCAAATCAAATCTTCCCATGACAGCATTAATGACTTATTAGCCGGAGGTTTGCATCTCGGGGACGTCACAGAGATCAGCGGGGAGTCAACCACTGGGAAAACACGAGTTAAGATTACTGCAATCGTCGATTCATCGTAATTGATCTTGAAGTTGACTTCTTTCATGTTCATCCGATGTGCACTAGTTGTGTTACGCTGCGACACTTTCTACCGCGTGTTCAGATGTCAATAACACAATCTTATATATTGACACTTTGAACTCGTTTTCTTCCGAGTCGATGCGTCTCCTGTTTCAGGAAAGCGATCGGTTTGCAGATGCAAGAGATCAAGGAATGGTGGGTTACCAGGATTTAAATTATTTGTGCTGTTGATGTACTCAAGTTCGCCCGATGTGCACGTTCATCGTTGCGAATAGAGCGTTGAAGACGTATTTAAGAGAATCAGACTTTCGAAAAACTGCTCAGACATCTTTTCGGTATTCTCTCTTGTCGAAGAACTACGTCAGGGGCTTCAGAGAAAGGTATATTCAAGAAATAACGGAAGAAATGGTGACGCGGCTAACTTTTGTCAAATTAAACTTGCTAGTCAGAGGACACCTTTTATTTTGGCTTGAGGTTGGTGGTGTTGGACTCCATTACACCATTATTCATGCCAATTTTGGGAGGATGTGTGGATGACAAAGGTTAGATTGCTGAATTTCTTTCAGATTAACTAAATCTTTCTTCTCAACAATCCCCCTCGATGTTTCCAGCCAATTCCTTTATGACAAGTCTAACGCGGATGCTTCGAAATTTAGCCAGAGAGTACGACATAGCCGTTCTGGTATCCTTTAATTCATCATATTTATTCAGATTTCTTCTTGGAATGCTGTGCTTGTTTTTCATGATCTTTCCTGTCTACAGGTGACTAATTCTGTTGAGAATGTTCGATCCACCACGAATCCGATGTCAGCCTTCGCCTCGACAACCATGAAGCCTGCGTTAAAGACTACGTGGACGTATATGCCCGATGTCACGTTATTCCTCACCTTGGGTGAAGATGTTGGATTGAAGCAGCGTGTTTACGTTAATCGACAAGGAAACGAAGTCTGGGGGCTGCCGAGAGTTTGTGAGGTTTTACGTTCGCATACCGGGGTACGTGTTCTATATCACTGTTGAAATCTATTTTCTATTACATCAATCCCGAAAATTTTGAAAACCTATGCGCTCCATAAAGCAAATGGGGGAGTGGTGCATCTTTTATATGGTAAGCATGAAAATTTTTCTTGGGTTTTCCTGTGCACTCCGAATTCACGAGAATTTAAATTTGTTTATACACACTCAGGGCAAAACGGAATTCTTTCCAATATCAGATGACGACTTCACCGCTCAAGTAACAGCCACATGTTGTGAAGGCGAAGTGGACGAAAGGTGATTTCTCAACTCAATCTTTCAAATGTTAAATGACATTCCTGTGATTGCACTTGATAGCGTATTTGATTCTATCTTTTTTTTTTTACGACAAGTTTATTATTTTCACTCGAATGATTGAATGCAGGTGATAAACCAAGGGAGAGTCTATATCTAGTCTTATTTATAAAGTTATTCAATTTCCGACTTGGTTCCATCCCCCGTTCGGACATTTCGTTTAGTAGCTCCAATGCTTGATCAAATCTTCTTCGACGAATGTAGCCGATGATCATATGATAGAAAGTCCAACCATTGGGTTCAACTCCGTGAACCGGTTCCATTTGCCTCATCAAGTTCATTGCGGCGTTCATGTTATCTTGTGAGATAAGTGCTTTGATAACAATGTTAAATGTCCAAGCCTTGAGCTGTATTTCCCGAGGGATCGAATTATGTAATAGGAACCTTGTCGCCTCGGTCGGATCGTTGGCGATGTGCGTGTATCCAAAGACGAGACTATTGAAAACATATAAATTAGGTTTTACATACTTTTCGGTAACTAGCATGTCAAAAATTTGCCGCGCCACTCCGACATTCTTCAACTTTATAAATAAATTCATCATTATCGAGATCGTGTTAATGTTTGGAGAGACCTTGAGGGCAAGCATGTCATCAAGTAAACCAATGATCCCTTCGAGATTGAAGTTTTTCGCGTGACCCCATAGTAGATAATTGTATGTGTCGATATCCCCTGTCATTGGTTCCGATGTCATGACGCGATACAGGACGCTCGCATTCTTCATATCGTTCATTTTCACAAATCCCTTGATCAGGATGCCATAAAAACGCGAATTTGGTTTTATTCCCATTCTGACCATTTCACCGTAAATCCATTTGACCCTCTCCCCCTCCTGTCGCGAGAAGAAATATCGAACGATGATCTCAAATGTGCGGAGCTCCCTGTTCATTCCGTTTTCGATCATCTCTTCATAAACCTTTATCATCATCCTCAAGTCTCCGCGATTTGCGAACCACTCCAGCTGCCTGAAAAGTGATGTTCTCCGTATGATCGCCTCGGCAAAATCACGTGCCTCCCTGTAATTTAAACGGCTTAAATATCGATTGTTTGTCAGCGTGTGGTAAGTGCTCTCTGACGGGAACAATCTCGCCTCCTGAATCATATCCAGGATTCGAACAACTTGATCCCACCTTTTGCGCATAATTTGATAATTCAAAAGAATGTTGAAAGTAACAATGTCGGGTTTCACACCGATGCGAACCATCTCCTCGATTATCCTCCACGCTGTGTCATAATCATCTGATCTACATACACTGTTTAATAGCCTATTGTATGTCCACAGATCGAGACTATACCCTTCTGACCTCATGTCACGATAACAATTCATCGCTTGTTGCACCAATCGAAATTCGGCGGCCAACCTGTCTACAACCTCGCGGTATATCAAGTTGTGAACTTTTGATTTCTTCCTTAAAGTTTGATACGCAAGATTTACCTTGTAAGGGGAAAAACTTTTTAGTGCATTGTCGATCTTTGCTGCGTCCCAATCTGCGGACTCGCCAAATTTTATCCTGGCGTTGAGCAGATCATTGTATAACCTCAACGTCAAATACGGATCCCGAGCGTCGGTGATGATCCTCCGGACGTTCGAATGAAAGCCTTGGCTAAATTGCAATCCTCGCAACAATCCTCGAATGTATATTGTGATTGCGGCTTCCAGATCCTTTTCCAATGCGTGGAGGCGGAAACGCCGTTCGTAGGATTCACCGGAAGTACCGTTTGACACGGATGCACCGCGTCTTGATGTCGTCAACTCTCCGGATTTACTCGACGAATGATCCGAATAAAAATCAAGACGATAGCCCTTAAAGAGATTAAACTTTATATGCCAATTAAGTCGAATCTCGGTCGGACCGAAAAGAATAACGCTTTTTGTGTTTTGCTTGCGCAAATTGCCATTTCGAGTAGCAACGCAGGTATATGCCATTCTACCGCACCTCAATAAGATAGTGACCATCTGCACAATTGTTGTATACTATTGAACGTGAGACGGAGAACGCATTTGAAAACTGATTTTGATGAAAAGTTGCGAAGGATGAATAGAGAGCCATTACCGCGAAACAACTTCATCGACTTACAAGTATGTAAATTTTTTTTTTTGCACGTCAAACTGATTGGCACCCCAAATTCAAGATTTCACCACCCCAAAATGCATCCCCACGCGTTCAACCCACGTTAAGAATTGTACATTAAATTTTCAGGATGCTAAAAATATTTTTAACATTTTTAAATCAAAAGTGTGCAAATTCCTACTATAAAATAATTTATCATGTTTTTTATTTCGTTTTATATATTTAAAATTTGATCTTGTAATTTCCATTTTATGTTCAATTATAAAAGAATTATCGGGCGTTACTTTCCGTGGTAAACAATACGCACATCGACCCACGGGCAATTTCTAAAATTGTGTGAAATCATCATTTTTTTTTTTTTTTTTACTCGAAGCTTTATCGCGACGTCGTCGATCAACCCCAACCGGTAACATAATTCCAAAATTCTTTCGACGCATATGTTAATACGCATTTTTAATTTTACGAATCACACACACATTGTGCACTTGACAGCATGCTGAGGCAGTAATTTTGAATTATTTTACATATTGCTCTTTGTCTCCCAACGTTGTTTGGTTTCGAATCTAAGTGGCGAAAGATGAGTGAGCCGAGGTCGAATGCAATGAGGAATTGTAAATAATATGAAGCGTACCCCCATTTTAATTTTGGTTTTTTCTTTTTCGCTTTCACCGCTTCCTCTTTCTAATTTCATCGAAAAATGTGTTGCTTAAGAGGAGAACGCGAAATGAACGAAGCAAGGTTTGCTGGTATTTACCATTTTCTTCTCATGAAATTCCTTGCGTTCAATTGCCTCCCGTATCATATTATCACAATTTCTTTGCGCAATCTGATCGCTTATTTTCGAAGCCATATCCAGATCGCCGTTTCTAACGGCTTGATCGAGTTCTCTCTCCAGTCGACACTATCTTTCATGAAAATGGTTAAGGAGCGCATAAAAAATGGTTTCTCTTGCTTATTGGAAATCTCACCTTTGTTGTCAAGCGTCCGTGATCAACTCCCCTTAATTGCGAGTTCATGTGCATGTAATATGACAGGTTCTTTGGGATAGTTTTAGAATTAGATGATTGTTGATTTACTTGATTTTTAGCAAACGTTGAAGTCTCGGTTTCTTTGAGTTTTCCCCTTTCTTTATCGAGAATAAAATAACCATCAGTTGACAACCTATTCTCGCGAACGGTGAAAATTTCGTCCACCTCCTACCTGCCGAGGAAATGTTCTTCTTCAGCTTCTTTTTTCTATCGCCTCCACCCTCTACCTCTTCCCGC